CCCAACTGAGAACCTATCCTCTTACTGGGCTTTTGAGGAATTATAGGTTGCCAGTTTTGCTTGCAGTTGCTCCCAGCTGCAGGTGTGTTAGGTTTGTGTACCTTATTGCCATTTTCACTTTGCTAGTTTTGGGCCAAGCCCAGAGTGCAGGCTCTGCTTGCTGCCGTGTTCCTGCACTAGGCCAAGGGTATTCCCGAATTTGAATGTAGGGTTGCCCTTTCGTTGCGCAAGGGTTTAGGGCGGGGGGATGAGCCCGAGTTGCTTCTGTGCTAGTGGACCGTGGTTTCCTTCCAGCCTACTACTGAAGTAGTTTTGCGCGCCAGGGATAGGTGTGCCTTCCCTGAGAAGTGCTGCCCTGCACTATCCTGTACGCCGCGTTCCGAAGTCCGGAGTAGTAGAGGCGGAAGCTTCCTTAAGCTATCCGGCGGCATTTTAACCAGATTTTACCCTTGTTTTCCATTCCTCGCCGTGCGCTTTCGGAGGAATAGGTAAGTCTGAACCACTTCGTTCCTTTAATTGGGTTTGGCATTTTGGTTTTGTTTCGATTTAGGGTGTCGTGTCCTGCACCTGGCCTGCTTGCAGCCAAATCTCTGCACGGTTTGCCACGTGCAATGCTTTGGCCCCAAGCAGGTAAAGGGACAAGTGTGGTCCCCGCACTGGCCTGGCCTGTTAGAGGGATACGTGGGCCCCGCGTGCTTGGCCTGGAGCCAGGTTAGGGGCGGAAATTGAGGCTTCTTCCTTTATCCCCTACCCAATTTTAGGAAAGTTGTTGTTTCAGCCCGGCAGTGAGGGAGTTACTGTGCGCTTCAGGTAGGTCGACCACAGTGTAACCCACACTGCTGTGAGTCTTTCGCAGGGGGCCTCCCGCATATTCCCTGCAATAGTGCTTACAGGAGGCCTACCTTGCCGAGGCCTTAGACTTTGTCAAGGCTGCATTTGCTGGCAGAAAGTTGGCCCTGAACCTTAAGGTAAGGAGCTGGCTGCATAGCCACCTAAGCTGGGGGATCCTAATCCTCTGTGGAGTTACTATCCATCAGAAGCCGTTATACTCACTGGATGAGTGGCAGGAGGTTTCTCCACACAGGGTACTGGCAAACCTACCTTAGAGGGATAAGTCCTGCTACGTGGAGTTGGAGGGCCACTCCGTAGTTTCACCAACCCTGGACTTGGTGACCAAGCCAGATCCGTGACAGGATAGGCGTCCATCCTAGTCGTGAGGGGTGGTGGCCACCCGCAGTAGCTTGCTCTGTACAGCTAGGGTGGCAGGACTTTTCCTAGCCTAAAACAGCCCTGAGGGTTGGTTCCCACCCTCATGTACAGTTTAAGGGCTGGTTAGGAACAGCCTTCCTGAGCGAAGGTGTTCTCCCTCGTATAGAGGGTTGGCCTACCCCGGGCCTAGTACAGGAGGCCCTGTGCCAATGTGCCAGGGCTTGACCAAACTAGCCTACGGGCTGCCTCAGGCTGTGAGAGGAGAAACACGCGGTGACTGCAGGTACGCTGAGATGATCTTCAACCTCGGCTGCACCTAGAGGGTCGTAGTTCTGTTTGTTGTTTAGGTTTGTGGTGAAGATTGTTGAAGCTGAACGCAGCTTCTGCAGGCCTTGAGCTGACACCAGGAGAAGAAGTGCAATAAAGGCTTCCCTCTTTCCACTGTGCTACGAAGTGTTTTTACAACAGGCCTGTGGGTCAGAGTAACCCACCAGGTGTGTATCTCCGAATATAATTCGCACAGAAGGTTTGCAAGTTTCACGCTAAACCCCTAAACCCTAAACCCCTAAACCTTATAAACCCTAAAACCCTAAACTCTGGAACCCTTAAACCCTGAACCCTAAACCGTAAGCCCGAACCTTGAACCCTAAACCATGAGAAATGCTATGGGAGATTTGGAGAGATCGAGCGCAGCTGAACATGATTGTGGGATCTTGTGGGTCTCCTGGGTGGCTCAGTTGTTCTAAGTGCGCTGAGAGCTGTGGAGTGAGGGTGGGGCTCGCATGCGGAATGCTTGCAGTGCTGTAATCCGGAAGATCGTGATGTGATGAAGCTGTGAACGATTTACCTCGCCTGACCTCCTTCGTGTCATGCAGGCAGAAAAAAGGCGTGCAAAAAAAACACGTGAGAACCCCAAACCCTAAGCCGCAAGGCAGCAACCCCGAAGCTCAAGAGGGACCCAGTGTGCGCCTTAGATGCGCGCATTACGTGCGCCTTAGATGGCCCTCCGCCCACTCGCTCCCCACTGTCCACACACGCTGGTGCTCTTGCCTGCACTGCCAGGTGGCCATAAGAATGGCCAGCATTTCAATAGTGGGGCAATTTGCGTGGCCCTTTCAGAAAAGGCATCAAGGGTTGCATCGGGAACCTGGGCGGCAAAATCTAGGGTTGGGGCCGAAGGGCAAGCAAAGACAGAGCCCAACCCTGGAGGCTGCACGAACTCTGGCTCGAAATTCGCATCGCTACACAATGTATGGCATGGTAGGCACATCTTAAAAAACGGAATGACTCGAGCAGGGACCACTGCAACTAGAGCCTGGATGTACCTGAGGGCATCGGCAAGCTCTTGGGTGAGCTCAACTGCTCCTGGATCATACTGCCTGTCAGAAAGCGGTCCCTGACGGCTTCGACCACACCTACCAAATATGGAGCTGGCTGCCCACACCATACTGCCACGCAACTTTGCGGCTTGCCAAACGATCATGCGGGGCCTCGGCAGTGATTGTCTCCCTAAGACCAGGCTTCACATCAACCACCATGTACGCCTCACGCAGAGCAGGAAACAGGTTCAGGAGCACTCTGAGAAACAAGCGCTGCTGGGCCATGGGCTGTTGCTCGTCAGGATCAACCAAAACACCTATAACTTCATACACAAGGCTAACTGAACCATGAGACTAGATGACGTCAAGCAGACCAGAGTCATCAAACAAATAGGTGCTCCATGAGCAGAGAGCTCTCCGGAGGAATGCAGTCACAACACATGGCACTCTGTTGAAATTCAGCACTGCCCTGGACAACCCATAGGGGTGTGCGCGGAGCGCTGCATAGCGGACATCCGCTCCTTCTTGGACCAAAGAATACGCCCTGCTCCTCATCAGGCCTGTTTGGGAGCTGGCGGTAAGCCGCAGCCATATCAGCCGTGCCCCACAGTCGGGTTGCCCACTCGATTTCCTCGTCACCTACTGCACTCCTCGCGGAATCAGGTGAGCTGGTCATGATGGTTTCTACTGGCAACGCACGTGCCACTGTGACCGCTGCTCCTATCGACGTATAGGGATTTACAAGGATGCTGCAGACCTATCGTTGCCGTTTGTCGGCATGGTCGCGGTGAATGCCATGCCAACACAACACCAGAAGCGCCGTTCCTACAACTGGTGGACAAGAGGGCGCCAAACCAAGATAATGTTCAACCAAGATAATGTTCCACCATGGGCCTCTCGCAGCTCATGTGCAACTTTCTTTGAACAGCATGCTGGCTCTTTACAGTTTGCAGTTTCAAATCAGATAGCATCGGCACTTTTTTTTTTTTGGTCTATGCTCGCCGGACACTATTTGCAATCAAGAATTGCCCGACTCGAATCTCTTCAATGCAGCCGAAGTCCATCAACTCCTTTTGACATGGGCCTGCGAGCCCCTTTCATTCACTATTCCGCTATGTGGTACGCAACATGTCAAAGAATCGCGCACTGCGCTTGAGCTCCCATGATTTTACGCCAGCAAAAAAAACAAAGTCTCGGACTTGCAGTTGCACCGCTCTTGCGCATCGGCGAGCAACAACACTTGACATTGTGAACAATGTGTTTTACATGACTCACCTGCGCGGTGTACTTCACGGGTTTTACTGAAGATTCTGTCTGATGCTTGTCCTTGGTGGCAGTGCACTTACCCAGCACGGAAATGCTCTCTATCTTCTGCGACTGAAAGCACATATTCTACGAGCTACTGGGACGCATGTTGGATTTCCTACAACATGTTTGGGACCACGTAGGATCCGAACGGATGTTTTAAGCTTTGCTGGCTAGAGATTGTTGGGTGTTGAAACCCTCTCTGGCATCTTGGTAATGCAGGTTGCGAAATTCAAGTTTTGTCGATCCGCTTGACCGATTTTTTTTGCACTTTTGGACCGCAGCAATAGCAACCTTGCAGACACCAACTTCATTGTGGCTTGGTCTTTTTTCTGGTTCCTTTGTTCAGCACACCTCTTTAGTCACAATACAAGATGGCGAACGCAAGAGTAAGGTCCCAGCGAACAAATCAGGCAAACTTCGGTGAATGCGGTGCGCTGGGCGCCCTGCAGCCAGTTCTCGATGTTGTCCTTGGATCCGAATTGGCGGCTTCTTGGTTTAAAACAGCCCGGGCCGATTACCTTGACAAAGGTGCCCGGAACATACGGGATACGCGACCTTTTGAGCCCATTCGTTTGCAATTGTATTCAAACGACTCGCCAGAAAACACTATCTTCCAGACCCCATCAGCGCAATAGCTGGATCCGATCCCCCCTCACTCGCATGAAGTGGCGTCCTGCCAGAACAGAATCGCATTCTTAGACCGCAGCCACCTACTGCAGGGACCGAATAGGGCCTGATGCTAAGAGGATCTGCGGCAACTTTACGTGCCCGCACGAGCATTCTCTGGGAAACTTGCCGAGCCACGCGGCGAGTGCCGAAATATGTTAAAATCGTGGTGCCGAAGGCGCGCCATGCGCCTCCGTGAACCACAAGTTTGATCTTAGCTGACCTTTTGATCTTCTTGGGTGCACTGACAGCAGGTCTTTTCAGATATCATATCTTGGCCACCTCTTCAAGCTGTAAATTCTTGGAATTGAGTACAGCAGGACCGGTGGAGGGCGTTTGTAGGAGAAACGAACTACTTTGGCAGATGTCGAATTGTCTGATGATTTGCCTAGCAGAAGCCCGCGAAAACGAGAAACACAGAAATAAAAGCCTGTTTGCGGGCCACGTTGTGGATACTCTACCAACAGTTTACGGGCACCTGTACAAGCTTTGGTTGCGGTTCCTCGCCTTCGAGCAATGCAGGTTTCATGGCCACAAAACCCAACCGCTCTAGTTTCAAGGAGTTTCAAGGTAAAAGAACTCACTAACATCTTTGCGGCAGTTTGTGCCAGACGTCGGAACACCAAACCCAGACCCACCGCATGCCTTGTGTTGAGATTCAGGTTGCTGGAGCTGAGCTCCAAGGCACCGCAGGCCGAGCACTGGAGGGAGAATAGATCAGACTGCTGTAGATGATGCTGTCGCCAGGGACTGCAGAAGGAAAACCAGGCCTTCCTGATGATGTGCAAGAAAGGAGAAGAGCAGTACAGCGAGCCAGAGATCATGTATTACGGAGGGGAGGTGGGCTGACCGAAGCCTTTAAGTCACCTGGAACTCCTGCAATGGTCCAGATCGAAGAGCTCAACCAGACGCTGGACGAACGCAAACAAGAACGTGCCCAGCGTGTCCAGGGCCTATACCAGCCAAAAAATACTCGCTGAAATCCATCGAATGAAATGCGTCTGCAGGCACAGGAACTTGAGGGCCAGATCCAAGAGAAATGCAAGGCAGTGCATTCCTGATTGTCATGCTGCCTCTGATGCTTATGGACTGAGGCTCCCATGGATGCCTTTGCTGCGGCCTATGCCACTGCAGTTGAGACCCTTTGTGCAAGCAGACCCTTCCATGATTCAAGCCAGATTTGGCTTTCAAATCAGACGGTCACCGCAGCCACCCTCCGGGACTTTGCCAGGTAAAGGCTTTGGTCGCAAGTATGGGGAGCCCCGGCGTAGAGCACAAGAGCGCGTGCGAGAACCTGGCTGGTTTAGCACGTCAACACGTCAACTCCTGTTTGAGCGGTTCTGCCGACTTCGGTCCTGGGGCCAGGCACCTTGATTGCTCGTGCATCAACTGTTCGTTCAAACGTCCAGTTGCTTCTGGATTATGCACAGCGCTCAGCAGTGGCTTAGCAAGTAACTGTACAGTGTAGTTGAATCCTATCAGGTTTCGCAGCTGTTGCAGCTACCACCAGCAGAGGAAGGAGGCAGTTTCCGTCCATTTCGTCAGGGATGCCGTGCACGACACACATTGCCAGGCTATGAAATTTCAGCCATGCCAAAGGTCCCCAGGATCATGAGCGTGAGGCCAGCCACATGCACTATTTAGCAGCAATCCAACAGCACGCCCTTGCAGACACTTCTTTTCACGCGGTGGCGAGTGCGCTCCCCATGCGCTTCACAGGTTTGCACATGTTGATGCTTACAGCCTGAGACCGTGGACCTTCACCGGAGAGCTTCTGGGCATTCTTTACGTGGCCGTCCGGAGCTCAAAGAAGTCAAAGCCTAAACGAAAAGGTCAGACAGTGAGAGGTCTGTGCCATGGCAGAGCTTGGCAGCCACCTGGGTGCCTTCCGCGAGCCCAGTGCCTGCTTCCAAGACCAAAAAGATCACAACATATTCTCTCTCTCTCTCTCTCTCTCTCACTCTCACTCACTCACTCACTCACTCACGCACTCACGCACTCACGCACTCACGCACGCACTCACGCACTCACGCACTCACTCACGCACTCACTCTGCAAGCTCCGAAAGCCACGAACCTTGGCAACAACTTTGAGGCCTCAAAGTACGAGCTGGCAGCATGGTTCCCAGCATCTAACCGGGAACGGCCTGCAGAGTGTTTTGAGACTCAGGCAGTTCCATGCCTTAGCATCTTGAGGGAGGACACATGCTTTCTTCCATCCCCAGATGAGCAGAAGGAGGCTCTCCACATCTCTCCGTGATGGCATGCGAGATGAGGCAAGAAGAGATGTCTTGCAGGTCCTCCGAAAAGCCGAGGAAGCTAAAGACATGCCGAGCTGCCGGCACGTTGCCACAGCAGTTGTTTCTCACTTGAGCTGTTTCAAAGCAGCCTCGAGCCAGGAGCGAGGCATCCCCCGAGCAGAGAAGAGAAGCCGACCGAGCGCTGCAGCTCTCGCAGTCCTTGGAGGAGTCTTGCTTTCTGCAATCGAATGCCACCGATATCTTGCAGATTCTTGCAGTGTGTGAGGCCTCGCAGGCGCTGAGGGACGACTCGCTGCTTCGAGTGCCCGAGCAGCAAAATACACAGGTTTGCACGGGCCCCTGTTACCGGGCTCTCGGCTAAGGTGCTCGGGCCGCTCTTGAAGAGCGAGAGGTTTAACAACGAAATCCAATCCGTGATCAAAGCATCCAACGAAGCGTATGCGGGCCAGGCCTGCGACACTTGAGCTCAGCGAAGAGACGGTTAAGAAGCACGTGATTCGCAACCTTGTGCACGCCGAGTAACTCGGTAGTGTGGCCTTGGCTCAGTGACTGCGTAGCCAGTTTTCCAAGAGTGTCGCAAAGTTAGAGCAATGGCTGGCAGGCCCGGAGTGTGTCCTCAAACTAGAGTCGCTAGAGTTACTAGAATCGAAATCGATGTAGATTTGAGGAGGTCACAGCAATTTGAGATTACCGCTGCTCAGGCCTCTTGCAGGCTGGCGAAACGGGGACCGCAAAAGCTTGATCGTGGTCTTCCTTGTCGGCCTCTACGCGTACCAGCTCTGTTTTGTGGCTCCAAGGTCACCCTCTCCTGAGCCCCGGACTTCTCTTCGTGCAGCCAAGGGAAAAGTGACGCCAGTGGTTGATGACTCCGACATGTCAGATTCTGACTCCTCCGACAAAGAGTCTGAGTCTGGAAGCCGCCAGAAGGCTTCCTTTGACGATATCCTCACGGAGGCAGACAACTTCGCAACGCAGATTGAACGCAAAACCAAGCGATCGACTGCAGTCGCACGCGTGTCCCTGGAAGACGAGCTTCGAAACTTGTCTGCACCACAATTGAGCTTGAGAAGCAATGACATTGTCAATGCCTTGTACCGAATCCCGGGCAAAACAATGACACCTTAATTCCTGTCAAAGCAGCATGCCCCTGAACTCAGAAATCTATTGTAGGTCGACAAGCAGTGAATCGGCGGCGTAGAACATCTCAGGTACACCGAAACACTCTCGTCTCTAAGAGTTTGTGCTTGCCGCCCTTTCTATCTATCCATAGCTCTGCTATCTGATTTGATTGGGTAAAAGCACGACAGTCCCCGCATGCACCAGATCTTAAAACATCCCAAGCGCAGCGCAGCAGCGGCGGCAGACTTGAGCAATAGCCGCAGCAGCCGCCGCCCATAGCTTGTGCATGGAGCCGGGAAATTTCAGTTTGAGAGGCCATGTGAGGCTCCAAACTCAGATTTCACTGGGAGTGTATAGTTTTGAGTTTTTCTTGGTGGCCTGGAGCGTCTTCGAATTTTAGCCTTTCCATCATGTTTCATCATTTTCCAGCGTTTTCATCATGTTCTATTATTTTCTATAACATTTTCATCACTTCTATATAATGTTCATCATTTCTACATCATTTTCCTCAACTTTATGCAGATTTAATGTACTTTTTTCTTCAATCTCATTATGCATGTATTGAGTTTGGCAG